GCTTGGAGAGGATCAGTTTGGATTTAGAAGAGGAAAAGGAACCAGGGATGCAATTGGGATGATGAGAATTATAGCAGAACGAACTTTGGAGATAGATGAAGAACTGTGTTCTTGCTTTATAGACTGGCAGAAGGCATTTGACCATCTTAATTGGACCAAATTAATGCAGATCCTAAAAGAAACAGGTATCGATTGGCATGAAAGAAGATTGATTAGCAAATTGTACATGGATCAGAAATTTAGAGTACGACTGGACAGAGAGGAGACAAGAAGTGTGCAGATTGGAAGAGGAGTTCGACAAGGATGCTGTTTATCACCAATTCTGTTCAACTTGTACAGCGAATGTCTTACCAAGGAAGCTCTGGATGGGCTTGGAGACTTCAAAGTAGGAGGGCAAATTATTCAAACTGTGAAATATGCAGATGACCTTGTGTTAATGGCTAAGGAAGAAACTGTGCTACAGGGCATGATTGATAGACTAATTGAAATTGGAAGGTGCTATGGCATGGAAATGAATGTGGAGAAAACAAAAGTAATGAAAATTTCGAGACAACCAACCCCAGTCACAATAAAGATAGACCAAAAACAAGTGGAGAATGTGAAATGTTTTAAATATTTGGGTAGCTTGTTAACAGATGATGGAAGGTGTACTTGTGAAATTAAATCCAGGATTGCCATGGCAAAAGCTGCATTTAGCAAGAAGAAGAATCTTTTTACCAGCAAATTGGACTTAAATTTGAGGAAGAAACTAGTGAAATGCTACATTTGGAGCATAGCTCTGTATGGGGCTGAAACATGGACACTTAGGGCAGTAGATCAGAAACATCTGGAAAGTTTCGAAATGTGGTGTTGGAGAAGGATGGAGAAGATCAGTTGGACCGATTATGTGAGAAATGAAGAAGTGTTAATTTGAGTCAGTGAGCAGAGGAATATCCTACACAAAATAAGAAAACGGAAGGCTAATTGGATTGGTCATGTTTTACGCAGAAAGTGCCTTCTAAAAATAGTTATTGAAGGAAAGATAGAAGGGCGGATAGAAGTGACGAGAAGACGAGGAAGAAGACGTAAGAAGATGCTGGATGACCTTGGGGACAGAATAGGATACTGTCATTTGAAGGAGAAAGCTCTAGATCGCATTAAGTGGAGGAATTGTTTTGGAAGAGACTGTGGACCTGTCGTCTGACAGATTACTGATGATGATGATGATATTATTGCAAATGTGATCTCAAGCAAGTACACTGACATAAAAGGGCGCGACAATTTAATTCCCGGAATAGATATGTGAAAGCAAAATTTGCTTATCTGTGGACTAGCAGCTGCTGTCGTCTTCGAAATGCTTTCCTTGTGAAGCTATGCACTACGTGAGACGATAGTGCCACTACCGAAAAATCGTTTTCTAAAATACCTTGCAGTGACTTTGTCATGTTGACTTGATGTTATGAATATCAGCAAATCTTTGTTCCTTCAGGGAATTTTTTTAATTTTGGAAAGAGCCAAAATTTGCAGAGGGGTTAGTCAGGTGAATAAGATGGGTGGTTTATTTTGTAATGGATTTCTTATCCAGGAACTCGCGCACTCTTAATGCATCATGCGCATGGGCATTTTCATGACGGGCAATCCCATTGTGAGGTCAGAGTTCGGGTCATTTCCTCCGAACAGATTCCCGTAACCTTGTCAGCACCTCCAAATAACACTGTTGGTCCATTGTTTCTCCTTGTGCAATGAAATCATAGTGAACCATCCCCTTGTGATGGAAGAAACACACAGGTATGGTCTTGAACTGCGAGCGATACATGCGTGCTTCTTTCGGCTGAGGTGAATTCTGTGTTTTTCCACTGCAGGCTCTGGCGTTTTGTTTCCGGGTCATATTGAAAACACCACATCTTATCATCGGTAATAACCCTATCAAACATCTCTGCATTTTTTAAAAGATCAGCTGAAATGTGAAGCAGATATTGTTTCTGCTCATCTGTCAAGATACCTGGCACCTTCTTTGTGGAAATTGTTCTCATTCCCAAACCTCTCATAAAAATCTGACACGCTGTGTCCATATTCATATTCACTTCTGCTGTTAGTCTCACTCCTAATCTTCAATCTGAGCACACCAAGGTTCATACTCTGTCCACATTTACATCTGTCCTTTGCGGTTTTGGCTGCCCACTTCTTGGGTCATCTTGCACATATTCTCGTCCTTCCTTGAACCCCCTATACCATTCAGAAACAGTCAATTTCTTCATAGCATCCTCACCATAAGCCACTGTTAATAGGGCTGACGTAACTCGAACTCGCGACTTTCCGGCTTGTGGCATAGTGCCTCAACCAACTACGCTACCGCATGCAAAACGCATGTAGTTCTTCGTGAAAGATGTGCGGCTTTTCTGTCCAATTTTAATAAAAATTGTAATGCTTCTGACATGCTATTAAATTTCTTCACTGTCATATTTCATCAAAAGTCTGTTAACGGTTTTAATTTTGTACCATGCATAGAGACAAACGGACAGAGAGAATTAGATAAGACTCTCTCAAGAGTTGTGACAGCACCTAAACATATATTAGAGTGGAGTGCTCTAAGCGAATTTTATTCTCCATTAAATTTTGAGAATCTAGCGAATCCTTTGTATTTGTTTTTCAAAGTAGACAGTCCTATCCTACACATGTAAACCTAAATGATCTCTAAGTATGTGTCAGCTCGAAATAACTGCATGCCATATATTTTAAAGTGTGTATATGTGAGCAAGTGTGTGTGTGTGCATGCAAATTCGTGTATCATACGATGTACCATATGACAATTCTTGTTCAGGCTCTGATGACAATCACGGGGTTGTGGCCGCTTGTCACCGCCACTCTCCTGGCAGCTGTTAGCGTCGCAGCTACTTGTCCTTCCGTCTGCAGATGTGACGTCTCCATGTGGAACAGTTTCAGAGGGCAATATGTAAACGGCACCAAATGCTCCAACGTTTCACTCACTGATCTCCCTCCGGGTCTCGACACCAGCATTACATTACTGATTGTTTCTTACAACAATATCTCTACAGTTCGAAACAATAAATTCTTCGGAATGAGACTGAGAGAACTGATTCGCATTGATCTTAGCAATAACGGATTGCAGACAATAGAAGAAGGTGCATTCTGGGGTCTCCATGAGTTGCGTGAACTCAGGTTACAGAACAACAAACTCAGCGTTCTTCATCCTAATACTTTCAAGGAGGCATTCAGACTTATTCGGCTGGATGTGGGTGAAAACTCTATCGGTCACTTCCATGTCGATACATTGAAAAATAACAAAAAACTTGAGTATTTCAACATAGGAAATAACAAGCTGAAATCAATTCACACCGATACATTCAAGAATAATGCAGAACTTATAAGTATTAATATAAGTAAAAACCTCCTGAGTGAAATTAGCTGTAACATTTTTATCAACAATTCTGAATTAGTATACATAAATGCCAGTACCAACAGAATTTCATTCCTAGATGAAAGAGCTTTTATGAACAACAAAAGGCTATGGAAGCTCGATCTGAGCATGAATATGCTCTCACAGATTCACCAGGAGACATTCAAGAAGAATATGAGACTATCGGACCTATACATCAGTCACAACACGATCAGCAATCTCCATGAAGACACATTCAAGAATACCAATTTAACCAATATATTTATGAGTGACAACCTACTCTCCTCTCTTCATTTCGGAATATTCGTAACTAATAAATATTTAAAGACTGTAGATATCTCCAACAACAGACTCAAATCACTTGACGCTAACACGTTCGCGACAACCAGCAAGCTGGAGAACCTGTACGTGAATAGTAACAGGATTAGATCCCTTCATCACAGCAGTTTTACAAACAACCCTAACCTCACGCTTCTCTTTCTGAATAACAACGATATTGACTCCATCCATCCTGACACGTTTAAAAACAATATGAATTTGCTATATCTGAGCTTGACAAACAACTCAATAAGTTCTATTCACCCAGGCACATTTAAATACAACTCAAAACTGCGTCACTTGCATCTCTCCAACAATAAGATCGTCTCTCTCCATCTCGATACGTTTATTAACAGTACCTCACTTCGATATGTCTACGTTAACCACAATGTAATCACCGAACTTCTCCCCAGCACAATTATGAACAATTCCAGGCTAACCAACCTGTATCTTAGCAACAATAACATTAGTCGTCTACAGACGCACGCTTTTTATGGTTTCACTGGTCTTCGGACATTAGACCTTAGCAAGAACAGACTAGAATACCTTCATCCAGAGATATTCAGTAATAACAGTTATTTGTGGAACATTGACATAAGCAGGAACAGAATAAGTTCCATACACCCTGATACCTTCCGGAATACCAAGGACATCGTGAAGATCCTTGCTAGTGGTAATGTCATAACTACTCTGCAGCCCTCCACGTTCAGAGATAGCAAGAAACTGAGGGTCCTGGACATCAGCAACAACAAACTCACAAATCTATATCCAGACACATTCAAGAACACTGATCTGAGGTATCTGGAGTTAAGTAACAATGAAATCAGTTCACTCCTTCCTGATATATTTATGAACAATTTGCATCTCCGTGAATTAAACCTGAGTAATAACACTCTGAGCTCCCTTAACCAAAATGCATTCAGGAGTATTCCTGCGTTGTGGAAACTGGATATCAGTGGAAACAAAATCATCGGTCTTGACTGCCATACGTTTTATAACAACACCGAATTGTACTATCTGAATGTAAGTTATAACAGAATAAGTGCTTTGGACCCCAGCATATTTCTGAACAATACTAATCTAAGAATAGTGGATCTGTCGCATAATGTTTTGACATTTCAGAATAATAATCCTATCCTAATAGCGCCAAAACTAAGTGCGCTCTTCCTAGGATTTTGTGGCATTAAGCATCTTCATATTGTTCATTTTCAGAATTTAACCATGCTGAGAATACTCGGACTGAATAATAATTATCTGGAGACGTTAGAAGACGATTCAAAGAAACAGCCAATGAATCGATACAGCATCATTGGACGACCACTTAATACACTTTATGGCTTGAAAGAACTGGAAACTTTAGATATTTCCAACAACAAGATGAGGAATTTAAATATGAATTTAGTTAGTGGTCATGAAAAACTGACACGGCTGAGTTTTTCGGGCAATCTCTTCTATTGCGACTGCAAATTGCAGGAACTATGGAGGTGGTGTTTTGAACGAAATGCAAGGCCACATATTGTGTCTTGCGACAAACTAGAAACATGCACCTGGGAATATGTACGTAGACTTTCTTGTGATAAAACCAATCGAAGTATATCACATTTGTCTAAAATAATGGTGTTAATTTGTGTGTCTGTTCTGATGATATTTTCTGTTGCGCTCGTGTTCAAAGTTGCGCCCAGACAAGTGCTACAAGATCTGTGCTATGGGTTACGAGATAAAATTGTGATCAATTTCAGGGAAAGTTTCAATGCGGCAGTAAGTTCCTGCGTGAGATACGTCTATCCAAGGGTGATAAGGAAAACCGGTTCTACAATTCTGACTCCTGATGACGTGTAAATTATCCATTACAGACCCTTGGAAGCAGTGATGGAAGTGACAATTTTTACATAGCAACTTAAAATATCCCCCTCCCTCACAGTGTGTAAAACGAGGAAAAAACTATGGCAAAAACTGTTACGGTATCCGTATTTCGTATACAAGTTACAGAGTCAGTCCTCCCGCTTTTTGGTAGTTCATAGTGTGTAGCTACCAACATCCATATATACAGTATATTTTTTTTCAATTTAGGGACATTTTTAATCTTAGTTGATTCTGTATTTTGTCATCTGCGCACGTGATAACTTCTCACATCTAGGTTCCGCCTCTGAAATAAACAAATTAATTGAAAATTGTGCATTTTTCCTTAGCCTATCATTAACAGCCTGTATTTGTGCAGAGTTTCTTTCTAGTTCTGTAGAACTTTCCGTGTGGCACACTGACCCATTACAAGGCATTATCTACACAGGGCGATACAGAAGCAGTCGTGGACTCATATTCGTATACCAAGTGGAATGTTAACTGATAATATCAGTAGTCCCGTAGTACTGCTCTATGGTCGTCGCGCGTGCTCCGGAAATTATGGCAGAAAACGCGCGATCTTAGTCCCTGTGTACATGTTTTCTTCCCAGTATTTTTCAGGTGCCTAGAAAGGAATGTGAAAGTGGGACTAATAATGAACATATACAGATGTGTTACGTGTATTAAGCTAATGGCATGTGACTGAAGTAAAAAGAAAGTATCACTAACTGGAAATACAAGTCACGTTAGTTTTCTAGTGTCTTTTAGTTTATCTGAGGATATAATTATCACAGTCGTAAATTTTTCAGATGGACAAATCGAATCAAACATGCTATGTTATATATGGTAAGTTGGTGTTCAATTCCTTGTAGAAGCAGGATATTGTCACGGGTTTATGGAATGACTATAGACGGGGTTTGGATTGACCCCTTATACACACAACTCTCAACTACACTTCACAGTTCACTGTTATATACACACTTGTGTTCTCAGTCTGTTATAATTTTCACTAGACGTTGCCTGGTAACGGATCTTACTAACAGAGATTCTTCATCTTCTGTGCTCACATCATTGCCACCCGGCAAATATCCCCAAAAGTGAAGCCACTGCTTCACTCCCAGGCTGGCGGCCATCTCACGCCAGTCTCCCAGTCATCTCTTCACAGAGTTACTAACACCAAACTTTGTCCCGCTTATAGCCCTTCGGCATGGACCGCGTAGAAAACACCGCTCCTCACTGTTTAGTTCAATCGTTGCCGTGGGAACATATTGGTTTAAGGAAGACGTTACTCAGCAAAGGGTGCCGTATATTTGCTTATTCCAAGGTCGTTACCTAGCAGTGGTCGTTGTTTATGGGGTCATTAGTTAGCAACAGGTCTACATACTACAATATTTTTATCTTCCCCTCAGCGTGCAGAGAGACCATGGGACCACCCCAATATACCTAATGACTAGCCGGGCCTCTTTCCCCGGGAATAAAGCGGCTGGAGTGTAAAGCTAACCTCGTATCTCTATATAGCGCTGATGGTGAGAATACATGGAGCTATGCCTCCTCTCCCTCATAACTGAAGTGGTTATTAATGAGGCACAGTAACGACATTATATTTGCCTTATTAGTAACAACAGGAACAGTGTCGAAGAGAGCGCGTTACATGTCACAAGACTAGATAACTTTAAAATTACAATTATGTCCGTTACTTTACAGTGACCCTCTTCTTCGTCTTAGATTCACGGATTAGGTACATGGTGTACGAGATTGTGCGTCCCCATGGGGCTGAGAGCTTATGCTATGTAGCTGCTGGCTGGTATAATATTTCAGAGAGTCCGAAGCAAAGATATGAGGCGACGTCTTTCCCGGTAATACTGGAGGCCTGAAGGCAGCCGTCCCAACACCAACGAGAGCTGCGGAAACCCGACAATCTTCTAAGCTGAAAATCTAATTACATGTCTTAATAAGCAGAAAACCAAACAGATCATTCACCACATGAAATTTCTTCATAATTATTTTAATTCCTATTCTTTAGCGTATTCTAAGCATTTGTCTATTGAGGTTTAACACAATTACATTTTGTATGCTCAAGTTGATCTGTTCTTTGCAGTATCTGGTTTCTTTTTGGAGCTCTTGCCTCTTGTTTTAAAGATGGCGGGGTCGAGGTGGTTGTACGGCATGTCGCTCCATTCCACGCTTTGTGTCACGTGGTTGCTCTGAAGCAGGTGAGGCGCAATAAGCACAAACATTTGCTGAAACAAGATATAAATTCAAGTCTTATGCAATAGAACACATGACCTGTATGTAGTCTTCATCTATTCCCCAGGCGGAATTGTGACACCGTATTCACGACAGTGACCGCCCCTGTAGTCTAGTGGTCAGAGTTCCTGGCTACAGATCCAGAGATCCCGGGTTCGATTCCCGGCACTACCGGATTTTCTGAGAAGTAGTGGGTCTGGAACGGGGTCCACTCAGCCTCGTGAGGATAACTGAGGAGCTATTTCAATGAAATAGCGGCTCCGGTCTAAAAAACCGAAATTAACGGCTGTAGGGATTCGTTGCATTGACCACGCGACACCATCTATCCGCTAAAGTTGGCACTAACTTCGCCAAAAAGCGGCGGTCGCTCGGTCGGTATAGTTCGCTTGCGGACTACAGCCACAGAGTTTGTTTTGTTTATATTCAGGGCCGTGTCTTATTACCCATCACCTTATTATTAACACATCTATATCTATTTAATGACACTCTCGTAGCTGTATCACAATACAGTTTCTAGGAGGAGGATGTCTGTGCGACATGAATCGGGAAGGAAGTCATGATCGTCACATGTTATATCAGCAATTTTCTGGAGGAGCCGACAGGAAACACGTGACATCCTAAATATCTGACTTCTACATCTATATATGAAATTTCCACCTTCCGCACACGATGCTGGATTGCTATGTACTTAACCACAAAGCCTCCGTGATTTTTCATTATCATCCTGAAATTCAATATTGGAAGCTGCAGGACAGTAGATGTTTACATATCATTGTCAAATAAATAGAAATTATACAATTGAGGAAGAGGGCTACGGGGGATTTGGGTGTAAGGCATGGGAATTTTATGGACATAAAGGTTACCTTCACGCTTCAGCCACTTTACCCCCAGAGAGAGATGTCTTGGAGAAAATAACAAAGTAATTCCTGTAGCCGATTGCTATCTAAAGTGCGCATATATTACACCACAATTCGCTCGCAAACCCACTGGAAATACAAGGCTATCGGTCTGCGCGCCCATAGTACAACTTCAGGATTGCACAAGAGACGCCAAAAGCTCTAGCATAAGAGGAGACTTACCTCAGCCCATGGTGTAAGTCCCATGGGTGTGAATTTGAACTGCCACTGAGGGAGTCCTTGGTGGATCAGCATCATGCGGAAGTACTGGGTGAAGCCCTCAGCCAGGAAATGCCATTCGAAACTTCTGTCCAGAAGCCAGATTTTGGGGTCCTCTCTCTTTAGGTCGGATTCACAGTCGCTTCTATCCAGATACACAAGACACACCTGCCAAAAGATTTGTACTGTAAGGTTCTTACTTCTGCGCCATGCCAGCTTTCCGGAATGAAAGTTTCTCGGTACCGTCTTTATGTGATCTTGAACTTCCGACAGACTTATGCAACTTCAGTTAAGTAAATATTCCTCATCAATTTATTTTATTGTGTTCTGAATTCATCTTCGAAGCCTGACACTCTGATTATTAAAACGTCCATAATAAAATTAGTTCTCAATTAATTAAGACATAGGATAAGTAGTTACTATGCCACAAGCCGGAAAGTCGCGGGTTCGAGTTCCGATAAGGTGGATTTTTTTTTTTTCAATTTTCCTATTCCTTCCAGTCGCACTATGGCCCTGGGTTCGACTCAGTCTCTAACAGAAATGAGTACCAAGAATCTTCCTGGGGAATAAAGGGCAGCCGGCGCGTAAGGCTGACAACCTTACCGCCATCTTTGAGCCGACTGTCTAGAGAAAATGTGGGACTCTCAACGTCTCAGATCCCTGTGGGCCTTCATGGCCTGTTACAAGGATAGATTTATAGGATAAGTAAGCCGGTCACAATAGCCGCGCGGTCTAAATTATGAACTGTCTTCGCTCCCTCCGAAGCTGGGATCGTGGGTTCGAATCCCACTCAGGGCATGGATGTCTGCGTTTATTCTCTGTTTGTGTTGTCCTGTGTTTAGGTAGAGGCCTTGCGACGTTGTGATTACTCGTCCAATGAGTCCTACCGTCTGTGAAAAATGATTACTGAACTAAATAAGAGGCCTGGGCACTGATTGGGTTGGAAGAGCCATTGAGAAAAAAAAACAGGATAGACAGTCCATATGAGAACTTCGCAATTTTGGGGGACTTGCATCATTGTTGTTAATACTAACACATTATTCCTATGAAGGAGATTTCAATAAATTGTGCCCATGACCGGATTTTATAAGGAAAAAGACTTCGCTTTTAGAGATATCGCCTTATGTTTGTACTATGGGAGTAAAACTAGTCTTACTGTTTAAATAGGTATGTCTATACGTGGGTTCAGAGTTCATTAAATCTGACCATATTTTTAAAATATTCGAGACCTTTTTCTGTTTGTTTTTTCATTCCGAAGTTATATTATACACGTACATTAATTGCCCGTGTACCTTTCCAATTCCCTGGCAGGAGTCCAGTTCAAAAATCTTGCATTTCACCCCGAAATTAGGCCTTCGTCTGGCTGGATTGCAATCATCTTGCCGGCTACATATTTCTACGTCCAGCAGATTGGGGTAATCAGAATCCCCTTGAGTCTTTATTCCAGCCAGGCGACGCAACTCAGAAATTGAGTTGATCTTCATGTTGCCTATGGACAACATTTCGCCTGTGAACAAAGCGAAAAAATAAGCAATTTTCGACATTTAGAAAATGTCTGAAGTCAAATGAGGCACCTATCAATTCTGCTCCACTGACTTGTTTCGTTGTTTAATTCAAATTCTCCTTGCATAAAACCACGACATTTCTTTCTTGATTCGCTTAACATCTACCATCTTACAGATCTAAACGTATTTATCTCCAGAATTTGGACTTAAAGGGAGACTAAATGACGACAATAATAATTTTAATAGTAAGAAGCTAATAATAATAATTCAATTCTTTATTATTTATGTGCTGAATAAACAGCCACAAGGACAGTTACAGACACAGCACAGTATAGACCACAAGTCCTCGTAATTACATTATGGGCAAGCACTGGAGGAAAAGTACATCAATGCAGAAAATTAACCAGACAAAAAGCAACGGAAAATTAATAGAGGTAACAAGAAATAAATAATACAGAACATTAGGAGTAAGAACAAATATTATTAACAAGTTTAGTTTAATGAGTATAAATGTGATTGAGAGAAACAGCCCGGACTGCAAATATGTCAAGATGTTTACCCACCGCCTTGGCAGCAAAGGCGCGCCGAGCAGAAGGACAGTGTTTATCAGAGGGAGAAACCCCAAACAATGAGAAGTCCCCAAGATTGCAGGTAGGAACACGAAGACAAACATTCTGATAAAGGGAAGAGCAGGATTTAAGACCACGATAGACCTAAATAAGAAAAAAGTGCAAGGTCATGTCTCCGTTTACGTAAAGATTCTAGACTTAATTTCTCTAAGGGCCACGCCATAGCTCAAGCGGTTAGTCGCTAGCTTCCCACCGCGGCGGCCCGGGTTCGATCCCGGGGTCTGCTCAAGTGGGATTTGTGGTGGACAAAGTGTCGCTAGGGCAGGATTTCTCCGAGTACTTCGGTTTCCCCTGCCAATCTTCGTTCCACCAATTGCTCCATAATCACCCTCACTTATCACCTGGGGCTGGTACAATAGGCCAGAAGTGGCCGCAGTGCAAGGTACTTAGTCCCACCCCACTAGCAATAAAAAAAATAATTTCTCTAAGGCATCAGTATAGGTATATGGAACATGAGGAAAAACGATAAAAACAGACGGACGTAAACTTCTAATAAAAATAAATAATAATAATAATAATAATAATAATAATAGCGCATATGCTCTCTTCAAAGCATACAGGGTAGAACGGGCTGTTGTGCTTGTGCCTCACAGATCCTACCATTGCAGGTGTGGATATATGCATCGGTATAAATACACACACACACACACACACATATGGAGCACGCAGTAGCGTAGTTGGTTGAAGCACTATGCTACAAGCCGGAGGGTCACGGGTTCAAATCCCGATGAGGTTATTGGATTTTTCAATTGACCTAAACTTTCAGCCGCACTATGGTCCTGGGGTTGACTCAGCCTCTAACAGAAATAAGTACCAGGAATATTCTTGGAATGTTATTGGGAGTAAAGGGCGGCCGGCGCGTAGGCCTGATTGTTTAAAAAATGTGGGAACCTCAATATCTCATAACCCTATGGGCCTCTACGGCCTGTTACAGGGATAGCTTTATTTTGCTTTTTTACTTTACCTGATAAAGATAAAAGGTGAAGCTATCCCTGTAACAGGGATCTGAGATGTTGAGGTTCCCACATTTTTTCTAGATCAAGGGTCTCCAAACTTTTCGAACCGCAGGCCACATTAGGTAATTCAGCACTTTCAACGGGCCGGATAAAATGAGAAATTAATAACTCTAGGTATATGAGTTTTATTGAAAGCACAGAATTTCATAAACTAAATACAAAGTGCATGAGAATAAATTATCGTATATTAATGACAACAGACAGTATCAGCAAATGTTCAAATTTTCATCACAAATTATAATAAAACAATTAATGTGAATGATGGAACTCTTTTTGCGTCCTTAAAATCTGATTAAATTGAGGTTCAAATTTTGAAATGCTAATCACAAGTAGCGACTTTAAATGTTCATCGGATAAATTTGCCCTGTATTTCGACTTGATGTACTTCATCTGGGAAAAAGTTTGTTCACACAAATATGTCGTTCCAAAAATGGAGATAAATTTACAAGCAAATTTCTTTAAATTTTTAAATTGCTCAGCGTTCAGAAATTTATAAAATTCAATCACATTTCTTTCCTTGTATTTGTCTTTAATATAGNATGCAACTCTGCACAGTATAGCATATGAACAAAGTTACAATTTTTCACTTGCCTTTCCAGAAGTATCAACTTTGCTCTGAATGCCTTGATAAGTGCAAATAGATCACAGACTAAGTTATTTTCACCCTGCAACTTTAAATTCAAATGGTTCACCAGATCAGCAAAACTGCTAATTTCCAAAGCCACTTGGTATCTGATAAAAGTGGTTCGTGATGGTTTTTCTTAGTAAGAAATATATCAATTTCATTCCTGAGCTGAAAGAAGCGCGAAAGAACCTTTCCACAGCTAAGCCATCGAACTGCAGTATAATATGTCAGGTCAATAAGCTCGGAATCACATTTACCAGTACTCACTGGAATATTAGTTCAATTGGCCCATTTATGCACAATTCTTTCGCGGGCCGGATAAAATCACATCGCGGGTCGGATGTGGCCCGCGGGCCGTAGTTTGGAGACCCTTGCTCTAGATAATCAGCTCACAGATGGCGGTAAGGTTGTCAGTTTTACACGCCGGCCGCCTTTGAACCCCCCCCAGGAAGTCGTTTCTGTCAGAGGCTGAGTCGACCCCAGAATCATAGTGCGGTTGGAAGGATTAGGTGAATTGAAAAAAGAATCAATCTCAACGGGACTGGAACCCGCGACCTTTCATCTTGTAACATAGTGCCTCAATTAACTACGCTACCGCGTACCGCTCATGCTACCTGAGGCCATCTCAATGGCGTACTTCGTAAATCCCACACATCAGTATTACCAACATTGCAGCCTCTGAGGTTTTATTTTTTTATTGACTTCATTAAGCATACATACAAAAGTTTCTGTAACATCAGATACTCAGATTGTAGTGAAAAGAAAGTAAGCTATTTTTTCTTTCCAGAACTCTTTGTTAGTCTTATTTAATGTACAAAATAGCAAACACGTGATACTGTATAATGCAATAACTTGACAAGTGGACGACATATATATAACTTAAAGCAACTAGCCGAACATCTGGCGACGCTTTAACAGGAAGCGTGACGTCACGACTAAACTCTTCATAAGAAGATCACGCAGCTTCAATAAAATGGAGGCCGTTGTTATAATCCTTCGTGTGTCGACGTCGCATTTTAAGATGAAAGCAATGTAATCCTGCGAAACATCGGTAAAAATCTATCAGACTGTAACTGATTGTCTAGAGAAAATGTGGGAACCTCGATGTCTCAACACCCTATGGGTCTCCACGGATTGTTACATGGATAGCTTTATCTTTCCCTTTTATCTTTGCCTTAATCTCAGAGAAAGTGATTTTATGGTCAGGAATGCATTCAGCGAGATAGGGTGATATGACTGTTTTTGTGAGCATGATAAGAACCGTTCGAGTTCCAGTATAGTGAATGGCTGCGGGCTGGACGATCAGGATTCATTTCCACTCCCAGACCCACTCTGATGTCCACCCAGTCTCTGACCCACTGACCACTTGCGAATTCTTCTTTAGGTTAAACCAAACCGGAGCGTGAAACTGATCACTCGACTCTATCCGTTATCGAGGTGCATACGTCCTCATGATGTAGACTCAATTCGATTCGAACCATAGATAATTGAATCAATTGAAGTTTCATATTCAGTCACTGAGTCTCCGATCAACTGAGACATTACCCTTGAACGGAAATTTTATTTTAAGAACTTTCTTACATTAACAAGCATATTAGTCAGTAATTATCTGTTTATTGTTTGATCCATATTATTATTACAGCTCTACAGCCCTCTGTTGGGCCTTGGCCGCTTTTGCAGTTTCTTAATCCTAAACACAGTCTCCTTGGACGGGAGATCAGCCCGTCGCAAGGCCTCAACCTACACAGAGAACAGCGCAAACACAAAATGAATGCGCACACAGACATTCATGGCTCGAGTGGAATTCGAACCCACGACCCCAACTTTCGAACGGACGGATACAGTTCATGCCTTAGATCGAGCGGCCACTGTGAGCGGCATCGTTTGATCATGAAGATTTGTATACTCTTCTACTGTAGTACAGTATAGTTGTTCCTGTGTTTAACTGATTAAGCACTACGCCATGAAGATGTATGGGGAGTAGATATTTTCTTGACCTCGGCACTAGCTGTTGACGAGTGATCACCTTCACGCCCCGACCGCTTTACCCCCGAGGAAAGAGCCCCCAGTACCCATTGGATAAGAGGTTGGGTGAACTCCAGAATTGGAGAAGAGAACACTCACGACCCTACCGGAACTCGAACTCCGACCCCTCGGTCGTCCAGCCCGTAGCCAGTGGCTGTACCGACTGAGCTATCCAGGCTTCTCTTCTACTGTAGCACGGCAAAGAGAACTGTAGTAGGATTTCTCCCATGGATACTTCCAGAGATCCAAGAAAAATCTTTAGTTATTTTCTGACCACCTGAATGACTGTTAACAGTTCAAGAAATACCTTTCGTCATGGGATTAGTTATTTGCAAAACTTGTAACATTGCTTTCCAAGAAAACAAAGCAGGGTCTTACAAATGCGCCCTGACAGACTGCCTCAGGACAATAGGACAAATGCCAAGGATCTGAATGCTCAGGAATCCTTGTACTGACCTGCGTATTCATAATTCCAGGTAAGTTTGAAGCCGTCAGTTGACATGTAAAACTGGCGCATGTCTTCCGGTAGAGCGCAGCAGTGACGTTGTTCCCATGCTGTTAGTAGCATCCTTTCACACGGCAGCCTTTTCTCCAGTTCAGTTTCCTGCACCCCTGGTGTGCTGTCTGTCCCACACAGAAATGCGTCAAAAGTTCGTTCTGTTCCCAACACACACTTGGGGAAATTCCTAGTGGAGTCATGTAGGTATTCTTATTTGCCTTAGGTGTAAATTCAGTTTCTGGAATTCGAATTGTCCAAGACTGATGCATACCGTTTTCTACCACCAGGCAACAGTTGAATATAAATTGTAGAATTGGGCCGGAAAGAGCGCGAACTTCGATACTGTGTTTATTCATCAATGATTTACGTAATGCTACTATGATGAACCCAGACTATATAGCAATAAAGTGGTAAGGTGATAGTGAATTGAAAGGATTTGAAGTTCTATCCTAGCATTTGTCTGGAGAGACTGGCAAAACCATGAAAACCCTCAGTCAGGACAGTCGTTGCCCCAGGCAAGGTTCGAACCTATGATCTTCAAATAGAAGTCAGAAGCGCATCAGTTGAGCCAGGTTCCTCATTTGTTTTCTCTGCTTTAAGCAAAGCGATGGAAAGGTGTACACATGCTTTGGGGCTTCAAATACAGAACTTGTCTTGATTTTGTTTTGTTTCAGACACAAATTTAAGTATGTTGCTGCAAAGGTTGTCACTGCGTACGGCAGTAAGGATAGGACCACCTCCCCATGTATGTATGTAAGGGGTGGGCCATAAAACCGGCCCCCGCACTGCGACCTTCAATGATCTATTGTGCTTCCTCTTGGATTAGCCCTTTATTAATCCTACACTTTTAATAAAGTGTAGGACCCTGCTTATGGGGGCGTCATAAAAGTCACTTAGTTCCATAAAAAACTGACCCAAGTGACAAAATCTTAAATAAGCTATGGCCTCACAATCACACAGGATGTTTGTGGCTGATTCGATTTCTTGTAGGCACTTTTCACAAGGTGGGTCATCTGTCAGTCCCAACTTGAAAAGGTTTCTTTCCGGTGGCAGTTTCCGACCACCTCCCCATTATGTGTTCCTTTTTTGGACAGCTTATGTCTGTCTCCCCCCAAGTACGCATATATAACATTCGAACCCATTAAACAAATTAACTTAATCTAAGATAAAGATTCCGTTCTCAAACGCCAGTGATAAATCAGTGTTAATAGAAAACTCCGGCAATAGGAAGCGCTAGTTTGATGTAGACCTGTGATCTGACTGGCTAATTACAGTGCAGACATGAGTTTCTTTTCCATCTAAGGATGCCGAACAGTAAAATGACATGTAACCACAAAGTTCTTATTTTATACATGTTAAAACCCTTTAAAAAACTGGATATCTTCGACGTAATTTTTAAAACCCAAGCTAACGTATACATATTTGGATCATCTTCAAGTTGTTGCCCCTATAGACTGAGAAGCAGTCTCTAAAATAATTCCCAAATAGGCCTACATATTTATTATACTTCAATGTCCCATACTTTTATTACAAAAGTAAATGAAAAAATTAAAGGAGCTAATACTCGTTTTTTTATTTGCTATTTGCTGCTAGTGGGTGGGACTAAGTCCCTTGTACTGCGGCCACTTCTGGCCTATTGTACCAGCCCCAGATGATAGGTGAGGGTAATTGTGGAGCAATTGATGGAATAAAGATTGACAAGGGAAACCGAAGTACTCGGAGAAAACCTGCCCCAGCGCCACTTTGTCAACCACAAATCCCACTTTACCAGACCCGGGATCGAACCCGAGCCGCCGCGGTGGGAGGCCAGCGACTAACTGCTTGAGCTATGGCGCGACTACCTGATACTTGTAAGTCTTGACCAAATAATAACACAGCACTCAAGCACGCACTGTGTTTCTGATTGTTATACTTCTGAAAGCTTTTCGTCCAGTGGTCCATATGCTTCCTGATTGCAACAGAATAAGATAGGTTACATTGGGCCTTAAGCCATACTTGCACTGATCCTTTTCATAATTGATGCTCATTTCGGATGCTGTTCCATCAGTACAACTTCTCCAGCTGAGATCTGCTCTTAAACCTCAACACCTCCCTGAACATACATTATCAGCACTCACCCAGCGGCCACCAGTTCCTAATTTCGTCTGAATTGTGCAGCTCTAATAAAGATTCACGGACTTCGTTTTTCTACTCAGCCTCACCAGGAAAATTCTGGGATATTACTTTAAAATAAGTTATGATCGCTTCCTTCCACATTCTTGCCAGCATATCGCTCTCACAGTCTCACAGTCTCACAGTCTTCCTACTACTATAGTGAAACCATGTCACTAAATGATCCCAAAATTAACAGACATTTGATTCTTAGGACATTTAACACGTTCCCTTGTCTGCAGTTTCGAGTTGGGTGGGAAGAGGACAACTGCCCAGCAGGTAGTTATTTGCAAACTTGGATTAGCATTCAGCTTAAGACCCAGAAGCACCAAGAACGTCAACAAGCACTGTTTGCTATCCGACCGAGATTCGATCCCTATGCCTCCCGAATTCGAAGATGGAATACTATCCACTATCCCGCTAATGTTCAAATCTATAAAAACGCATGTTACGTTACTATTATTCGAAACCAGCTTATTTCACTGCCTTAAGGTAAATGTAAAGTTGTCCCTGCGCTTAATTAATTAAGCACTACACCATCAAGATGTATGAAGGAGTGGATGTATAGATCCACAGATTCTTGATCTCGGCACTTGTTGGAGGTGAGCGGTTAGCTTCACGCCCTAGCCGCTTTATCCCCTGGGAAAGAGCCCCCGGTACCCATTGTGTAGGAGACAGGCTGGGCCCCAGAGCCGGTCTGGGTGACGTTGAGAACAGCAAAATATTATTCCTATTGGGTCTCGAATTCCAACCCCTCGGCCGTCCAGTTGCTATACCGACTGAGTTATGCCGGCTCTTCCTTGGTAACTAGAGCTCTTTTTTTATTGCTAGTTGGGTGGGACTAAGTCCCTTGTACTGCGGCCACTTCTGGCCTACTGTACCAGCCCCAGATGATAGGTGAGGGTGATTGTGGAGCAATTGGTGGAATGAAGATTGGCAGGGGAAACCGAAGTACTCGAAGAAAACCTGCCCCAGGGCCACTTTGTCCACCACAAATCCCACTTGACCAGACCCGGGATGGAACCCGGGCTGCAGCGGTGGGAAGCCAGTGACTAACCGCTTGAGCTATGGCTCGGACCCTTGACTAAAATTCATAAAATACTCGTACAGTAAAATTGCTAAATAACAAATTCAGTTTTTCACAATTTCAGGATGGAGATAATTAGACCCAGATACATAATGATAACCTTTAGAATTTGTACTCGGCACTAAATATTATTCATCGCATCAAGGTGGATTGTGGGAAATGTAGCACGCATTTTGGAGTTGAGAAATGCATAAAAATACATGTATTAGCCAAATCTCACAAGGGCGAAATAATTCGGAATGTCTAGACTTAGGTGGGAGGATAATGTTAGATGGTTCTTAAGGAAATGAATTATCGAGGTGTGGACTCGATTAAGTGGCTAAGGATGAGTCCCAGTGGCGGCCTCTTGTGAGCAAGTACACGAAACTTAGTGTTCCTTGAAAGGAGACGAATGTATTGAGCAGCCAAGCAACTGTTAGGATCTCAAGAAGGGCTGTGCTTCGTGGAGTTTGTTACTTAAATCACGTTTTCGATCCACTTACCTAGCAAACGAACAAGCCCAAGCGTCAGATTGTCGTAAAATGAATCTTCTGATACTTCTCCCACAAACGACATTCTGCTCCATTATCGAGTTATCGATTTAACACAATCGCGGTTCCCATGGTTACGAAGCGCACCAACAAGAAATAAAGCACTCATTGTTCCTCCCCATAGTGGGCTCTCTCACCATGCACGTTTCTTCTTCTTCTTCTCCTCCTCTTTCTTCTTCTTCTTCTTCTTCTTCTTCTCCTCCTCCTCCTCCTTCTTCGCCTTCTCCTCTTTCTTCTTCTTCTTCTTCTTCTTCTTCTTCTTCCACAAAGATCTTTAGAACATTTATCGAGGTTCAGAATTCATACTGGTCTTTCCATTTACTTTTCCCCTTGCAGAATATAAATGTGTAGTGATTTAGTAATCATATCTTCTCGCATTTTGTAAACATGTTGCTTCCAGTCTAATTACTCTTACCTTTTATGTCATCCACTATAATCATAGTTTACAGTCTGCTTCTACTTTTCAGTTTTCTCCATTTTCGATATAAAATATATGTGTATAACTAATTTATATTTAAGATGTAATTTATTTTTTCTTGTGAACTTTCTTGAATTGAAGGATATTAACGAGAGAGACAGGAATATTCGTTTCGATATTCAAATGCATTAACAGATCTGATTAGTTGAAATAATCCAAAAATAATATTATTGTCTTTCAAATTATTCCAACATTGCCTGTAGTCTTTACTGTTGGCCGTAAAATGGCCAATTGATCAATTTAATTCTATACCAATAAATTGATGACTTATAATTTATTTATTAATGATTCCGTATTAAGAGAATTGGGAAAGACGCTTTAAAAATTGAAGTTCAGTGAGCTGTGAGTTCAGTTTCTTCAAATATTCTCGTAATTCACAGAATAACCTATGTATATTTCCATAAACATCATTAACCCATCTGTTTTTGTAATTGAAAACCAGATGCCTTTTTTGAGCAAGGAAATGAAATTGTCTATATTACGTGTATTTAGGTTAATTTCAGACTCCAAACGCTTGTCAGCTTTTGGTGCATTCATAAAAAGTAAACTGTAGTTTCACGCAAAAGAAATGCCTAAAGAAAACGTATATGCTTCAAGCAGAACGCTAAGTTATTCGTTCTTTTCTGTTTAATTATAGTGACGCGCTAGTAACAATAGCACGCAACAGTTACACAGTTTACAAAGAGTTGCCCTTCAGAATTCCCTCGTAGTTACTACACGGAAGTTCCAAGACAATCAAAGATGAACTAGATACGTACGATGTATATATGGTCCCCAAATCTCGATTCTAACCTGCAGAACAGGTCTTTGTTCTTTCACATCTCTACGTTTTATTTTTATGACCTGATTGAATAAGTTGCAATACTAGCTGATCCATGTCAAGATACCGCAAACGAACGGGGAAAGCTTTCAGGTTGCAGTTAATGTGAGCTCCCGCTTCGTGTAATCTCACAACGTCATTGCGTTTCGGCACATCTTGGGCGTGGGTAGTGAAATACAAAGCAGAAATTCAGCTGAATGGTATTTAGAACGGAAATGTTTATTCCACTTTGCAATTCTCATTTGTCTTGGTGTCTCTTTATTACATTCATTAAAAGTTACCTGCAATACAGCCGAGATGGCGCAGTCGATATAGTAACTGGCTACAGGATCGACGGCCGAAGTCGTCCAAACTGGTTGTGAGACCCACTCAGCTTCCTATCTAGTAGGTGCCACAGGTTCTTTCCCCAGGAATAAAGTGGCCAGGGCGTGAAGCTGATCATTCACCTCCAACTAGTGCCGAGGTCAAGAATATGTGGATCTATACATTCACTCCCCCATACGTCTTGATGGTGTAGTGCCTAATTAGTTAAGCACAGGGACAACGTTGCCACTCTTACAGCTCTTAGATGAAGATAAACGCAAAGTTATCCCTGTGTTTAATTAGTTAAGCACCACGCCATGAAGACGTAGGGGCGAGTGGAGGTAAAATTAGTTTGACTTTTTGGTTGTTAAAAGGAAAAAAAATAGTCATAACCTAAATTTGTTGTTACTTACAGAGCCCACCTCATTTTGAGTGCCCCCTATCCCCGAACCGCAAATCCGGCCCTGCTAACAGCAGACGTTCCACAGATCGACCAATTGCCTCGCAGTACTGGAGCAACACTGAAGCCTGGCATCGCTTCTTATTGGTAAGCAACTTGTAACGTACATTGGACGCCAGACAAAGAGTATGCTCCATTTCCCTGGTGTATAATTAAAATCCGCCGTGCTCACTTTTCAATACCTCTTCATTCCAACGGCTAATGTCACAGGCTTCAATTTTATTGCATTATGTGAATGTTCAGCTTCCTGGAATTTATCTAAGAACATTTCCGTCACAGATATGAAAGAATGAAGCCCAGCTCTCCACAGAATATGCAGGCCTACAAGCTACTTCAGCTGACCGTTGGAAAGAAAGTAGAAAGACGAGAGCGAAGTGCTGGTAGCAGAAGGAAAGGGGCAGAGACGCTGAAGAACAAGTAACTGACTTTGCAGATCTCTGGACGTAGCGCTTAGTATGCCGTTATGTATAGCCTAGAAGTGCTTTGTCTGTTGACTTCGGACAAAAGCAGAGATTCTGAGTCTGTAAGTGTAAAGAGTTTGCCCTTCATAGAATCAGAGCATAGCGCATGCGCGTTGAATAACATAGTGTTCACCAACCTGTGGTCCGCGTCTTACTTATTTTTATTATTATTATTATTAGTAGTAGTAGTAGTAGTTAAGGGGCTGAGCCATAACTCAAGCGGTTAGTCGCTGGCTTCCCACCACGGCGGCCCGGGTTCGACCCCGGGGGTCTGGTCAATTGTGATTTGTGGTGGACAAAGTGGCGCTGGGGCAGGTTTTCCCCGAGTACTTCGGTTTCCCCTGCCAATCTTCATTCCACCAATTGCTCCACAATCACCCTCACCTAAGCGGCCTCCGTAGTCTAGAGGTAACGTTCCCACCTCATGACTCGTAGTACGCGGGTTCAAATACCCGGCGGAGGTCGTCGAATTTTTAAGGGCGGAAAAATTCAGGGAACAAGTCCTCCGGGAGGGACTTTAAGCTGTGTGTCCCGTGTCGTAACTTTACGGCACGTAAAAGAACCTCATATCCCCAAAGGGGATCCCTGAGCCAAATTCCAGGACGTTTCCCGCCCAACAATAGTCTCTAAGGCCTCTGATAGATGGGGGAAGCATTATAGACACCGCTAAGCAAGTGGCCGAACTCGCTTGCTCGGCGGGACTGATGGTACGCACCATTTATCGGTAGGGTATAGAGACTGGTAGAATATCATAGAGGGAAGCACAATAGATCAAACTGGTCGCGGTGCATGGGGAAACCCACCCTCTCTAACTAACTAACTATCACCCTCACCTATCATCTGGGGCTGGTACAACAGGCCAGAAGTGGCCGCAGTACAAGGGACTTAGTCCCACCCCACTAGCAAAAAAAACAAAAGGGTATAGGAAACACATTGCTGAAGGGGGTACTTGGACCTGAGGCAGGGAAAGTACCGACGGATGGAAAGAAATTAAATAATGGCGACCTTCAAAGTATAACCTTATCCAAGTACTGTTAGGGTGTAAAAATGAAGGAGGACTGGTGAGACATGTGACATACATGTGGGAATGAAATATGCCTGAAAACATGCAATTGAAAATCCTGAGAACAAAGGAACACTTGAGAGACTTAGACATAGATGCATCGGTAATATTAAAATTCACTGCTAAAGGAACGGAACGTGAGGTTGCGCGGTGGATGCACCTGACTCAGACTAGGTCCCGTGGCTCTCACTTGTGAACATTGTAATAAACTTCCGGATGCATAAAAGGTGGGCTGTTTCTTGACCAGCCAAGCAATTATGTAACAGCAGTTCAAGGATTCTCTGTTCCAGGGCTGTCCAACTGGTGGCACGCGGGCCGATCGCTACCCGCCAGTTGGTTTTGTGTGACCCCTGAGAGTGTTCTTCCATTTCCCAAAATATCTTAATGCTTCATTTTTCTATGAAGAGTCTGAGAATATGCCGCAAAGTCTTTATGAAAAGCTTTATCAGATAGTCCGCGAAATTATTTACTTGATTTCACATGAAACATAATAATTTAGACCCCAGTCAGAGAAGCATGAAATCGTTTTGTCTCCACGGCTGCGTGCAATATCTCCAAAATCTGTCAAACATTTAGCCGCTCTTTCTAAGAACCGTCGACTGAACAAAATTTAATTTAAATAAATATTCTTTAATCTTATCGGTAAAAATAAAAGGTAAATTGTCCTTGTGATTAACTAATTAAGCACTACGCCATGAATGCGTATGGGGGAGTGGATGTATACACCCAAGTTTTCTTGGCCTCGACAGTAGTTGGAGGTGAGTGGTCAGCTTCACGCACCTACCGTTTTAACCCCGAGGAACGTTCCCCCGACACCCATTGGACAAGAGGCTGGGTGGGCCACAGAGCCGGTCTGGACAACATAGAGAAGTGAAAATTCTTGCCCCCACCGGGAATCGAATTCCGATCCTTCGTTCGTCCATCCCGCAGCCAGTCGCTATACCGGCTGCGCTAGCCTGGCTCATTTAATTATATCTGTCCAATTATTATTGTTGTGTTTGTGCCTCACAGATCCTACCATTGCAGGTGTGGATATATGCATCGGTATAATTATATATGCATATATAGCCCACTTGTAGGTACCTATAGTGCAGTGTGGCTTAAGATATTAAGTTCTTCAGCCCTGAAATTCGTAACGATTAAATTTGCCGTTATTGGGTCTATTTGCATTTTGAAGAGTCCTGTGTTCTGGAATATAATGCCGTATAGTCCGTTGAAAGTCAACTGGTGTTTCGGAGGAATATGTAACCTCCATCTTCAGGGTCGAAAAATAAACCGTGCAAGAGACCAGCAAGAAGTACGCAGGAAGCAGAGCCTGCTGTTCCTCCAAATCGTCCCTTGACTAGCAACGGACTACACGGCATTACATCCCCAAACACAGAATGATTCAAAAGGCAGACAGACACAATATCGACAAATCTAATCGTTACGAACTTTAAAGCTGCGGAATTTTGAACATCAGTACATCTCAGAAGATAAAACTATTCATAACTGCCGCGGTGAGACCCTCAAATCCTGCGTATCTTCATTTGATCTGCAGTGTACTGAGGGCAGGCCTTCGGGAAACCTATTGTTATTGTACGGCCAATGAATCGGGCTAAGGCGAGGGTCGCTGGATTGCAGTGCACGTGGCATGTAGAAGTTCTGCAGGGGAACTGCAACATCAGTTAAGTGATTGATTGGTCTCATGTTATACGACGGGTACCCCTTCCACGGTAGGAGTAATACTTCTTCTTTTCGCCACGGCCTACCTATTCAGCAGCTAGCGGGGTTAAGGCTTCAGAAGCGTGAAGCTAATAACTCATCGCTATCCAGCACCGAGGCTGAGAGGGCTTACAGCCTTTCTAACTCCCCATAGACACCTTTGTGGCATTGTACTGAGGTAGATGTATGGCTCACTGGTTAAAGTGAGCATTGCTGTCAGTCCGCCTCGTCATACGTTCCATTCTTGTAGGCAATAAGAGTAACCTACTCAGCTCTCAGTTTGGAAGTTCTGGTTCACCTTCCATGCAGATGTAAGCAATTAAGTACAACTACTTGTACATCCTAGGGGAGATTCCAGTGTTAAGTTCAGGACAGTGCAATGTTTAATTTGCCTTAGTAACATGTACAACGCCTTTCGTTCCTGACTAATGATGATAACAGTATCCTGGTCTTCTGGCTTCATGACACTGTGCGATTTCTCTGCAGATGATATTACGCTCTGGACAAGGGGTAAAGTCACGCGTAGGGGATGTAACCATTCATTATAATTATGCGCATTATAATGAATATCTGATTAAGACTACTAAATTGTAAACTGTATCCTTGTTACGGCAGCCGAGCTGTCTAAGGCATGCACTGTCTTCGCTCGCTTGGAAGCCTGGATCGTGGGTTCGAATCCCACACAAAGCATGGATGCTTTGTATGTGTTTATTCTCTGTTTGTAGTGTCTTGTGTTTAGGCAGAGGCCTAGCAAGATCTGACCACTCAAGGAGTCCTACCGACTGTAAAATGGCCATGAGACTAAAAATCAGAGGTCAAGGCCGAAGGGGGCTCTAGAGCCAATGAAAAAATATCGTAAGCTGTATGTCATAAGATTAGATTTAGGAATTAGCCATATTCTTACACTCAGAATACGATATAGGCTCATTTTTGCTCTGTGAACAGTGTGGAGCCACCTGCTAATTTTCCTATAAATTGAGCTGCTTTACACAAGAGGGCAGGACTTCGAAAATGGATATGTCACAGCCAAAGCAAGCAGTAAATCATAGGTAGGCCAGATCGATACCCACGCTAAGCTCATTAAACACCAAGGAGCTGTCAAAAGCCCCGTTTGTATTTCAAGGGCTAAAATCCATCTGATTGCGAAATGCAAAATTTTGAGACTTCCTACATTTTTAACTAGGCCAATAAAACAAGTAAAATGGAGGTAACATTTGTTGGAAGCTGAAGCTTGGAGAAGTTCAATGCTTCAGAGCAGATAAGATCCAAAAACGCTTTGGTTTCGACTTCCAAAGCATTTGAAAGCAAAATCTAAGCTCCTCAGAAATTCCAAATTAACTTATAAGTCTATCTTGATTGTGTGACTTTTGACAATTAATTAAAATTGAAAACTACCATAACGTGTTTAACATTATTGAACAGTATCTACAGTTATTTGTATATCAGTGTAGCAATCCGTGTAATTCTCCACCAGTGTGATTTATTAAATCACAGTTCAATACCAATCATTGTAGTCATTGTGTGTGTGAGTGTGCTGCTACAGTGTTCCTCCTGTCCTGCAAGAGCAAGGTCTGTTAAGACCCAGGGACTGATCTCCTGTTCTACCAGACCCAAACCTGAGCTAGTCATCTCGTTACATATCCTTACCGGAAGGCATCCTACAAATTTGTAGCGACTGCTGGCGCCCAAAACAAGTCCTTCAGCCTTCCCACCAATCAACCCAACACCTAAGGACGGGAAGGAGGTAAGGATAAGACAAGCGCAAGTGAGTTCTACAACTACGGCCGTATTGGCTACCTGCGAGCATTTATAAGGTGGCGTTCAAAGCGTGGATGTAGCAGAGAATGGGCAACTGAAGAGCCATATGAGGTCGCTTTCAACTCGGCTTCCTCCATGCTCCCGAAACTCAACAATCAGGGGGGAAGAGCGTCTACAGAGATAAAATCGTAATAATGTCTCATGGATGCGGGAGTATGGGATATCAACTCTTTCATCTATAAAAACAGAATAACCAAGACGATTCAATTGGCCCCAATCTGTCAGTCGGAATGTGTGTCAATCGAACGTAGAGGCAGTTTCATGTTTATGGTTCCTTCCCGGTTCCACAATTGTGCCACGTCACACGTTCACAGCTTTCCTAATACACAATTCATTGTCATAATGGCCTCCTTTGCCTCCGTAACGTATGCATCGATAACAAAGGGAATGAAATTTAGACTTAAAAAATATACGGAGTTGTTCTTCTCGTTAGTTAGAAAGATAATTACTCGCAGAATAAGCACATTCCCTCAGATACTATATACAGTTTAACGGATGTGTGTCTCATACAGATTTATCCCAGGGGATAACCCACTTCTCATTCTAGAGAATTCTACTCTCTCGGCAGAATACCAGATAGGGATATACATATCAAATTTTTTACTGTAAAAGAGAAAGGAAAGAAATGAATGGCAATACAAAAAGAATAAAAAAATAAGGAGGATAGACGTAAATATGAAATGGATCAAAATACAGGAACATCAGTAATATAATAGGATTTGTTTTGCATATATGAAATATGCCATAAAAATATTACTTGTGACTATGAGGAATACTGTCTTGTGGAATGTCACGTCGTGAAGTTTACTTATTTTGCGGATGAACGTGTCGCCTATATTTTGTGTTCAACTCTGAAGATGGAGGAAGAACTTCCCTTTGAAACGTCTGTAAACTACTAAAATTCAAGGCTTCACTCCCGAGATGACGATATTCTTGAGGCATTATTGGATTCTGCTACGCCACTGTCGACAAGTCGATAGATGAAGGAAGTTGTCAGGACAACTTCTGTAAAATAAAAAGAAAAGAACAAGTTTGTATAGTTTGTTTGAGACGTCAATAGCTTGAGGCATGGGGTCACTGGTTTCTTGGGGATTACAACATGTATGCTTCAGGTAAGTGGAGACGTGAAGTAGCGCAAGTTCACAGAGACAGTCTTTGCGTCCCAGTTCCGTTGTCTGCGCCCTGTCCGTAGCACCATAATCAGCATCTGTTAGAGAGCGGTCTGATGGTTGTCGTTTCCGAATCAACATTGCACTGTGTTGAAATTGCAGGTTAGGACACTGTGCCGATGTAGCTATGTGCAATTTGCAAGCGTTTGGTTTGTGATTGACAGTGAAGTGCTCTATCGCTCTAACACGAGATGGAATTTTGACACTTCGAGGAAGGTTAACTGGGATCACTCAGATACAGAAGAGTTGAGGTCTGACCAGTAAGCGACTAACAGGTATTCGTTTTATCTACTAATGAAATTGAGTACTATTTGTATTCGCCAGAATACAAGCCTAATATGTATATATGTAAAGGTAAAGGTATCCCTGTAACAGGCTGTAGAGGCCCAGATGGTTGTGAGATGTTGAGGATCCCACATTTTCTAGACAATAGGCTCATAGATGGCGGCAAGTTTGGTAGCCCTACGCCCCGGCCTCCCTTTACCCCCAAGAATATTACGAGAATATTCCTGGTACTCATTTCTGTTAGAGGCTGAGTCGACCCCAGGGCCGTAGTACGACTGGAAGGATTAGGTCAATTTAAAAAATCCAGTGACCTCATCGGGACTTGAACTTGCGACCTTCCGGCTTGTAACATAGTGCCTCAAGCAACTACGCTACCGCGTGTCTCCCCCCCTAAATATAATTTCCTAAGCATACATCCTGAATGTACTGCATTTACCCTTCAGATGTTTTCAAAGGGTCACTTCTCATCCCGACAGTCTACTGTGAACTGTATACAGCTGATATGTAAAATGTATTTCTGAAGTTTAACTTTAAATAACTGGACCCCTTAAATTCGGCTAGGTACAATAATCATGAGAGGAGCCGGGATAACGCAGTCTGTATAGAGACTGGCTAAGGGCTGGACGAGCGAGAGTTCGGAGTTCAATTCCCAGTAGGGTCAAGAATGTTCTCTTTTTCATGACGTCCAGAGTGGCTCTGGGGTCCACCCAATTTCGTATACAATAGGTAACGGGGGCCCTTTCACAGGGGTAAAGCTGCCGGGGCGTGAAGCTGACCACTCACCTCCAACAAGTGCTGAGCTCAAGAAAATATAGATCTATGCATCCACTACCCCATTCGCCTTCATGGTGTAGTGCTTGATTAGTTAAGCACAGGACAACTTTAGCTTTTTACCTTACAATAATAACGAGTGAAGGATGCAGATGTTTATGAATTGAAAAGTATGGGATGTGAGACCTGTAGAAGAGAACATATTTTAGTCTAGTCCTCCATAAAGCCCACACAGACGGCGGCCCTGACTAAAGTTCCTTAAGCGTAAATATTGCAGTCTAGTCTCACTCATTGTTGAAGTAGAACACATTTACAGCCTGGATTACATCGTTAATCTCATCCCCCAACCCCCTTTGGAACTGCGCAGGAGTAAGAGATGAGAAAGTAGTGTTTTTTTCTTAGTGGGGTGGGACTGAGTCCACTTGGTACTGCGGCCACTTCTGGCCTTCTGTACCAGCCCCAGATGATACATGATGGTGATTGTGAAGCAATTTGTAGAATGAAAATTGGCAGGGGAACCCGAAGTACGGGGAGAAAACCTGCCCCCGCGCCACTTTGTCCACCACAAATCCCACTTGACCAGATCCGGGCTCGAACACGGGTCGCCGCGGTGGGAAGCCAGCGACTAACCGCTTGAGCTATGGCGCGGCCAAGTAGAGTTTTATAGGTGAGGGACGGTTTTTATTGCTGTGGAGTATTTCTGTTAATCGTAACAAAATTCTATATCTGCAACACGAATTCAAACCCGTGTTATCTGGCTTCATCAGTAATACCAAATCGGTGGATCTGAAAGTTGCTTGCAGCAATCGATCTTCGAAAGAATTAATTTTATCAAGCGCATTCCTCAATGTGACGTTCAGGGAAGGACGTGGGTTGAGGATGCCTGAGAACAGAATGCTGAGGAGAATTCTCGGACGCAAGAGGAAGTAAACACTAAGAAGCTTGAGAAAACGGCATAACGAGCAGCTTCGTAGCTTGTACTACTAGCCAGATATAAATAGGATGCTGAAGTGAAGGAGGATGAGATGGGCAGGGCATATGGCACGCGTGGGAAATAATAGGAATGCACGTAGTATTTCAGTGGGAAAATCAGAAAGAAGGATACCACTAGGGAGACCTAGACGTAGATGGGAGGATATTATTAAAATGAATCTCAGATTAATAGGGTGGGGCTATAGACTGGATTAATGTGGCTCAGGATAGAGATTAGTGGCGGGCTATTATTATCATTAATGAACTTTCGAATTCCATAAGAAGCTGGGAAATACTGACTAACTGAGCGACTGGTGGTTCTCAAGAAGGACTCGGTTCTATGGAGTTAGTTAATTAGCTGACTGGTAGCGCTGAATGTAACAAAACTACGCGATAATGTGAAATATTTATTTAGCTCTCAGTGTTATGGATATAATGAATGAATTACTCGAGTTTTGCACGTAAAATTGTCTCAGATGGATCACTAGGGTATTATAAGTTTTCAAGCAAATATTTCTTACATGCGTGTATCTTCCTCCTCCTCCTCCTCTTCTTCTTCTTCTTCTTATTCTTGACGGATTACGTCCACTGGAATTCTTTCATTCAGAATTATTCTGAAACTATGAACCTTATAGGCAAATGGTAGGATTCCTTGGACGCGGGAACAGCCCGTCTCAAGGCAAAGGACAACACAAATACAGAAGAAATGTGGACATACATACATGCCTCGAGTGGGATTCGAACCCACGATCCCATTGTTCAAACGAGTGAAGACATTTCGTGCGTTAGCACGGTCACTGTGGTCGGCAGATCTGTATGTTAGCATTAATAAATAGAAAGACTGTGCTAAGCCTTGAGTTGGTAGACTATTAAATTGGGCATTGTACATCGTTTTGAGGTCTTTCGACCATAATGTTTCGTAAGCTTTATCTGTTTCCGTCACCAGGGACGAAATGGTCATATTCAGTTATATCCGTTACGAAGACCTTGTCTAGATCACTGGACCCAGTGCAGTGCATAGTCATAAACATTTTGAATTCGCATATAGAGTGCAAACTGAAAGCAATTCTAACCTGTACTAGTGAAATTAAGCACAGAAATGAATCATGATGTACTGGTCGTCTAGAACTGAGGTGCTTGAAGGAAAGTAGGTGGCTCACGTTCGTTACAGAACTTCATTTTAGACTGGTTTTCTGAAGGCAGATTTTAATTCATTTTTACTGTCAGCACCACCTTGACAACAGTGTTGTTCACAGGCCGTATTAAGATAATTAGCCTCAATATAACAGGTTGGAAACGTCACAGAATTAGTGTTACACATATGAAGATCGCTACGCTTCCGGGGCTAAATTTCTCCTGGCCGGTTTAAACCTTTAAATATGGTAGTAAACATGTGTACCTTCCGCTTAACATTAAGAAATCCCGCATTTTGCCCACACGGTTTATTCATGTGTTTCTTGTGATTTTCGTGATAAACAGCGACTATTTCCCTAGGCAGCATTAACCGGTTGGTCTTTGTTATCCAGATGCGGCGTGTTTTCAGGGGAGTAGGAATTTAATTTTGAAATATTGTTAGATGAATTTCTTACTATAAACAATTAATTTCTGGAATTATAAGGCTCAAGAGGTTGGCAGGACATGTAGCACGCATGAGGAAGTAGAGTGATGTATACAGGATTTTGTTGGGAATGTCAGAAGGAAAGAGGCAACTAGGAAGATCTAGTAGTAAGTAGGAAGACAATATTAAAATGGATCTTAGAGAAGTATAATGGGATGGTATGCACTAGATGGGAACCAATGGGGGGCTTTTGTGAACGTGGCAATAAACTTTCAGTTTCCATAAAATCTTGAGAATTTCTTGAGTAATTGAGCAACTGGTCGATTTTCAAGAGGTGCACAGCTTCAAGGAGGTAGTTAGTTAGTTAGTTAATAACGCTCACTAAAGCTGCATTGAAACGGCTGTCTGTGAGCCCCATTGCTTACGCCCTAGACTTGGTTCACACCTTCTAGATCTAGGTAACAGAAATGAGACGTCATCCGTTTCAGTTCTGTTACTCAAAAATCACAATTACAACTATTATTCTATTAACAAGTGTTATTTTCCACTTTAGGATATAGCCTGAACAGACCTGGCTAATAGTCACTTCTCTCGCGAAAGCTTGACTAAAGCTTGGGGTGAAATGTTTTAGGCTTACATGGTTTCTTAGCCAACGAAGGAAGAATTTTATGATAATATGGCCGGCCGGGGAACGGAAGAACTTGGAGAGCACCATCTTCTAGATTGTGACGTCATACTATTCGTAGTCACCGCTGTGAGAACCTCAAATCCCACAATGAAAATATGTGGTCTTCGCGAAATCGCTACGTAAAATTTCCCATTTGCCAGTTTTCTTTGGGTAATTTCTATTTGGAAATATGATAGGCTAAGTCGTACAAAATGTATATGCAATTCGTTGTATTGTAAGCCTGGTTGAAAACTTTACTTCGGAAATTTCTCTATAAATATAATCTTGAAATTTTTTTAGGTAAACAAGTTTTTTTCAATAATTTCCAACAATAAAAGTGCGTTCTTCAAGAAGAAGTGGTCAACTCCTTACAATTAAGGACATCTTTTACTCTTACTCCATTACGCTAACTGCCTTTAGTCTATACAATAATGCTTAATAATTTCTATGTTGAAATATTTTACCGCATAATCAAATAAAGGAATATTTCACAGAAACTCTGCTACTGACATATGAGTTCCGCCTAATGTGTGTTCGGTTCCAAGCAGCGTCCAGACTGACCTGTCAAATAGGACTCTTTCTTCAGTGTCAGAGTGCACGGACCTGAAAATGCCCACTCGCCTCCACCTAGTACCGAAGTTAAATATGAATGAAGCTTTATTTCTAATCTCCCAAACGTTTTCGTATTTGGTTCTTAATTAAGAGTAGGGACAGTTTTGTATTGCTGAGGACACATGTGCTTATATTTAGTAACTCAGTGCCAATCACAGAATACACTGATAGATTTCATTTGATTTCAGATAAACAAAGATTGTCAGGATTGATTGAGATGTACGTACTCGTAGCATAATTAGGTGTTCTTTGTGTTTTCTAAAAGAAATCGAGTTTTTAAAATTTAGAGAAGGCTTCGCCCCGATTTAGGCAATAGTTACGTTTCCGTGACAGGCCGCAAAATTCACAATCAGGCTGTCTCTCTTGCCATTAATTCAATCTTAAAACTACTATGCTACAAGTCAGAAGGTCGCGGGTTCAAATACCGATGAGGTCATTGGATTTTTTCAACTGACCTAATCCTTCCGGCCACACTGTGGCCCTTGGGTTCACTCAGCCTCTAACAGAAATGAGTATCAGGAATTAAATAAATAATTTTCCTGGGGAGTAGAGCGCGGCCGGCGCGTAAGGCTGACAACCTTACCACCATCTTTGAGTTGATTGTCTAGATAATGTGGGACCCTCAACGTCTCACAACCCTATGGGCCTTCATGGCCTGTTACAGGGATAGCTTTACTTTTTTACTTTACGAGTTTGTGATGCTGAATGGGTATATTACAACTGTGAGATTTCATGCTTTCGCATGATAGGCATCTTGCTAATACTATCAAGCAATTGTCAAAAAGACTTATAATATATGACAATGTTTGTTTACATCATAATATAATTACTCTCTAGCACAATACACTCAAAATTATCATTTAAAATAAAAGTTTCTGTCAAAAGTAACAGAATATTTTGGTCATATAGGTTTAACACATACAACAAATCCAACATATAAAAACATTCAATTATAAGTATGAGGGGGTACCCAAAAGAAACCGAACTTTTTTTTTAACTTATTTATTCAAATTTTAAGCACAAACCTTCAATCCCCTTCAAAGTACTCTCCACTTACACTAATACACTTGTCTAGTCTTTCATTCCATTTTTCAAAACATTGTCTAAATTCATCTTCTGAGATGCTTGACAGCGCCTCCGTCGTTTTTCCCTTCACCTCAGCAACATCAGCAAAACGCTTTCCTTTCATGTCTCTTTTCATTCGAGGAAACAAAAAAAAAAGTCGCACGGGGCAAGGTCAGGTGAGTATGGAGGGTGAGGAACAGGGGTCATACCATTTTTGGTCAAGAATTGTCGTACAGACAGGGCTGTGTGAGCAGGGGCATTGTCATGATGGAAAAACCAGTCACCCGACTGCC